GTGTGTGTGTGTGTGTGTGTGTGTGTGTGTGTGTGTGTGTTTTGTGTGTGTGTGTGTGTGTGTGTGAACTTATATAAAGATTGGGATAGAGAAAATAAGAGTGTAGTTAGCAAATCTAAGACTCCCAAAAGAGTCTTTGGAATGAAAGAGACTGCCAAAGGCCTCATGCAGACTGAAGGGAACAATCCCTAGCAGAGAATGAATACATGAAATCAAGAAGAGTAAGTACAGTTTGTAAGTAATATAAGCCTCTGTGTGTTTACTTGGGACTAAGGGGCTGCACAACACAGTTGGGAGAGATTCATCCCAACCATGGGGCTGGGCCGGAACAGAGAAACATCTGGCTACATTAGGCACTCACCATTGGGTATTGATCTACATAGACCTAAGAAAGCTTAATGATTCTGAATGCACAGAAAAGGAGCCACACTAGGCTTCCTAGTCTCACAGTCTCATGCCAGTAGCAGTGTAGAGACTTGTCTCTCAACAGCTGCCTGTGAGATGGGCCTGGCCACAGGCTGCCATGAGCAGATTCCCACCACAGTACACAGAGGTGTCTTCAAACCACGAGGCACACTGCATCGTGGATTTAGCTTTTGCAAGTACAGAAAAAAAAAGAGGTTTCTGGGTTACACTCTGCTTGATGGAGGCATAGACCAAAGTCAGTGGTGAACATGGCTCCTGGAGCTGCCATGATGGGAATCTGAGGGAGGTGGAGTCAGCAGCCAGGGCTGCGCTTCAGTCCTAGCAACACTGCAGTTTAAATCAATGGTCCAAAAATGATTACAGACTCACAATAAGACAGATTCAGATGGAATAAAACTCTAAAAAGTTTACAATGTGTATAAAAATGTCCATAGGCTTGAAAGAGAGAGGGAAAAAAATATGGACATTTATATAAAGAAACAGATAGTTTTAAAAAATAAAGTCTTTAAAGAGACAATAAAAATAATATGAAAGTTAAGTCAGGTAGAGATGGTAATTACACAGAGACTCTGGATTGTATATATTGTGTTTTCTTTAATTTTTTGACTGTTAATGAGCTAACTGTAGAAAGACATTTGACTGTAAAGGCTACCAAGTTAAACCAAGATGTGTATTTTAAAGGTATCTTGACTTCAAAATTTATGTCTAAGGATATGTTGCTTAGGAAAAGAGGTTCTACTTTTGTTTCTACAGAAGATGAGAACCTGTGGATTGCTTCCAGGTGGTTTGGTCAACCAAAATCCCCTGAAAGGTCTCTGATGACAGCCATATCCCAGATGATCCACTACCCAAAACAGCTTTAAAACAACTAGCTAAGACAATACAGCCTCACAGACTACTACAGCCAAGATTTAACTATAATTGTTAATTTTCCTAGGATCCCCTTAAGATTGCCAGCCCCCTCTATCAGCAGGAAGTAGTATGGGAAGCTAAGACCAAGTTCACAAAATATTGTTTATGAATGTTTATTTTTATTTAAAGCAGGTTGATTATAAATGCAATCTCTTTCTACAGAAGAAAAGGGTATATAGATATGATAAGATAAAAGGGTAGATTATTGAATCTACTTTTAAAGAGAAACAACTTGTTTGAAATGTTTACATTGCTATGGACTTTGGTTTATTGATACAAATTTAAAGTTAATTTTGTTATACTATATATATTTCTAATATTGTTTAAGGTATTATGTTTATGCAACACATTTAAAATTATAATTTATAATTAAGAAATAGAGATGAATAATTAGTCACCTATGATAATCAAATTTACAGTCATGTTAGTTAAGTTTTCTAGGTATACATAGATATATTTCAATTAGGTAGGTTATCTTCAAACACTTCAAAGACCTACAGAATATGGCATTTAAAATGTTTTAAGAATTAGACTTTTCTGGACATTGAGACATGTCTGCTCCTGGTAGCGCCAATCTACTTCAGAGAAGATGATGGGCATTGAAGAAATTCAATATGGAGTTTGCTTTCTTTACAGCAAAAGTTAGCCATTTGGGCAAGCAACTGCTCTTGCCTGGACTGATTGACAAAACATTGTATAAACTGAACATGAAGTACCCATAAGATAATGACCATGGAACTTTATAAGGTGAGATGGTTCTTCAGGTTCCTGCTTCACAGAGGAGACTGCCAGACATTCTACAGGACACTGAGAGAAGCAACTGATGAACTTTTCCAGAATAGGAAGAACAATCTTTAAAATTTCCTGCTTCACTGAAAGCTATTCCAGAGACTGTAGGCCTGTAGGCTGAAAATAGATGCCCCAATGTTACAGAGGAACTTTGGATGACTGTCCAGGTAGCCAGATGTCTCTGTCATTTCTAGAATTATAGAAGGTGCTTGCAATGTACTTCCTGTTTACTCAGGTAATATTATATCCTTCTGGGGTCTTTGATGGAGTTGAAAACTAGCTAGTCATAATTATAGTTTTTTTTTAGTCATGATAAAAGGTAAATTAGATATGAAACTTTAGACTCACAAAAACAGGATAGATGATAGAATATTTTCTTTAATTTGCCAAATACTAATAGACTAGATAATGTAACCATAATTCTCTCTTGATAACTGTTTTTTATATATAATTTTACTATGTTAAAGTTAAAACCTTCCTTTTTGATTAGACAGAAAATGGAAAGTACTGTGAGATGTCTTTCTGTATGCTGTGAATATGTGTGGCTCCCATTTGATAATAAATAAAGCTGTTTTGGACTATGGCAGGAAATAGGTTGAGTTAAGTTATAAGTGTTAGCTAGCAAGAAGCCTGACGCATAGGCCATACAGTTCGTAAGTAATATAAGCCTCTGTGCATTTACTTGGGACCAAGCAATTGCAGGATATAGGTGGGAGAGATTCATCCTGGCTGCAGGGCTGGCTGATCAGGACCAGAGAAACCTCCAGCTACAAGTAAGTTTGCATTTCTCATCTGATCCTGAAAAGGGCTAATACTGTGTTGACCCAAGATATCCAAGATGTGTTCAGACAAATAAAGATGACATAAGAGAATTGAATGTGCAAAGGCAAAAACACAGTACAGTACCTGGTATGAAGTTTGCACTCAATAATACAGAGATTTTTATTATTTGAGAATTTCAAAGAATGTATTTTTTAAGATGTATTTTATCTTTATGTGTCTTATGTACAGTCCATGTGTGTACAGGCGCCCTTGGAGGACAGAAGGCCTTGAATTCTCTGGAGGTGGTGCTTTAGGTACATTTCAGCTTCCTGATGCAGCTGCTGAGAACCAAATGGGTCCTCTGGAAGAATAGAAGTGCTCTTGGCCACTGAGCCATCTCTTCAGCTTCTCATATAATCTATTTTGATCATATTCACTCACCACCTACCATCTCCTCCCAGATCTATGCCTCCTTCACTACCTGCCTAACTTGTATACTCTATTTGTTTTAAACCCATCAAATCCAATTTGTACTACACATATACTCTTGGATGTGTGGCCATCCTCTTGAGTGTGGGCTATTATCTTAATTACTTTTCTGTATCTGTGAATGGACAGCATGACCTTATAAAAGAAAACACTTATTGGGGCTCATGGTTCCAGAGGCTTAGAATCCATGATCATCATGATGGGGAGCATGGCAGTAGGCATGTAGGTAGGAATAGTGCTGGAGCAGTAGCTGAGAGCTTTTATCTGATCCACAAACGTGAGGCAGAGGGAGAGCACTAACTGGGATGGCATGGGCTTTTGAAACCTCAAGTCCAGGGTGTGCTCAGCAATAGGGTTTTCATGTCAACTTCTGGATGATAACCGAGCACAATAGCATTGGCTGGAACTATTTGAGGTCTTATGAGACCTCATGGCCAACACCCCCAAAAGAAGAAGCTGATTCCTGGCACTGGGCTTTGTGATAATATATTTAAATGAATGAAGAGAATGTACAGTGGTGTTTATGAAAGAGAGGCTGAAAGAGATAGGTGGGAAAGTTCCTATGAGACTTTCAAAGACAACGAACATGGAGAAAGAGCTTCCACAATCTGTTGGTTAAGGGAAGC